CACGCAAAAAAGTGAATACAATAGTTCCTATTGCATTATATGAATAGGAACTAAAAGGGTCTGAATAAACTTACATCTTCATTGTACACCAGCAGAAAACTATTAAAAAAAAAAAAACTAGGCTTTCTCAGCCACTATAAGATTTAGTTGTTACTGATTCCAATGTTCATATTAGCACCATGACCACACAGATAGTTTATCTCCCTGAGCTCTATTTATTAGTTGTATTGTAAGTAGATTCATTACAACTTTTGAACTATTTAAAATAATTTTTAAATAGTTTAGGCTTAACTGAATTAAAACCTATACTAGGCTGCACCCCAAACTTCGAGGGGAAAATCACGTATAAAATTTGCGGCTTATACACTGGAACATACGGTATTAAAATTGAATGTCAATAATTTTATAATGTACTGTATTTCTATTTTTTTTTTAAATTGATACTGCAGGTTGTGGTTAAGGTGTGAAATAGCAAAGTTGGTGAACTGGTACTGGTATGGCCATTTATAATGCTGCTCTTCCTTGCAGTTATAAAGCGCAGTTCTTTTCCCTAGTCATTGGGTCTACATGCTACAGTAACGCCCATATTCTTAAAACAAACTTTAGTCGAACTTCAAACTAGAACTTGATTTAGTGCTAGTTTGCAACTTCAACTTCAATTTGTATTCACAAACAATGTGTTCGAAGTTTTAACTACGACTAAATCAAGTCCTAGTTTTAGTTCAACTGAAGACGACTGGCAAGCCACGACTATCAAACTAACCACTGAAAAGGGCTAACTTTAATAACAGACAAAATTTTAGAGATCCGGTAACGTGGATGAATATTAAGCTGCCGTCTGTGGTTCAAAAACGTATTTCCTCATAATTCATAATAGACCATCATTCGCTTAATTAATTTTCTATAATAATAACAATATTCAGCCCTCAAAATTAGGAAAAAAGTACGTCGGGAAAAAAAATAATGAAAATCGCCGGCGCTATAAAATTTACACTGGTTATAACGTCGGCAGTTTTTAGTTTTAGACTGTCTTTTACAACACCCTGTGAATGAACTGTCGCGACGGTTATGATGCATCGTACAGGTAGCTCAGTCCCAAAAGTGTTGCCGAGATTATCTATTAATTAAAACAACACACCGGTAGGCCTAAACGTTAATGTTAGATAAGTTGAAAGTTACACCTTAATATTGTTCTTAAAGTGCACACAGTGACGTTTGTAGTCACACTAATAGAACAACACACATAAACGTCGCATGGCACTGGCAATGGAGTAGCGTAAAATGGAGATCTTGGCCTTGATCATGCCGACGGCAAAATATTTCCATGGAGAGGTCGGACTAAAGAAACAATGTATTTCAGCAAGTATTTAAAAAAAACATTTTTATTATTTTTAAGCTTTCGCCAAAATGGCTAAAGTAGTTGTTTTTTGTTTCGCCAATTCAAAATTGTTTTCCCCCATGACGACTTGGTGATCGGTTAGCGGGAACCCAGTGTTGTTGTTATGGTGAAGCTAGGTCATCGCAACGCGAGGGGATTTCGTGCAAATCAGAAAATACCGCATGCAGCTTGCAAAACATGTTAATTTCTCCTTTTGGAAGCTAAACTTGATGTCTCTTTTGTTTAACACTATATCAAAACTGTGTATACAATCGTTTTTATTCGTTTCACTTTATCATGACTTACAAAAACACGTTTTTAGTGGGGTAAATATTTCAAGTCGGGGATTTAGCCTGACCGTAGGCTGACAAAAAAAAAATCGGCCTGCCGGAGGTATCATTTCAGTCGAGGTTCGTGTCATTTAGTCGTAGTGCTAGTCAAAGTTTGTTTTAAGAATACGAAATGACATAATTTTTAAGTTTTAGCTCAAAACTACGACTAAAGTTTGTTTTAAGAATTCCGGGGTTAGCGTTGCTGCTGCAGCAGGCACCCCCCGAGGTATCCCCACCAGGTATCAATTTATACTCCTGGATGGAGAGAACAATGCAGATAAAGTCTCTTGCTCAAGGACACAAGCGAAATGCACAGCGAGGGATTGCAACTCCGACCTCGAGGTTGGGAAACCCGCTGCGCCAAACCGCTTCCACGATAAAAACATTTCTGTACGCCATGAGGAACGTCTTTCAGGTGCTGTTGAATGGTTCGGTAACTTCATTGGAGTTGCTGTCACTGATAAGACCATTGTGGTACAGTAGGAGTTGCAGAAGAAACGACTCCATCAATAAATCCATTTGTTTTGATGATGGCTGCACAACGTCACCATCTTACTAAGTTGACCGAAGCCACATCAATAACTAGAAACATTTGCGCTTTTCGGCCAAGATAGATTATTACATAACTTTCAGAGGTGACACATAAAATTTGAAATCAAGCTGAACTATTATGAATTAAAAATCAATATAATACATACAGTATCGTATGAATTGTATCTAGTGCTACTTTTATTTGCTTTCAATGTGTTTACTTGTAAAAATGAGGAATGTTGTAGCCATTTCCCATCAGTCCAAAGTCAAAAAAAAAAATCCTCCTTTTTTCAAAATAGTAGGACGAGAAACTATTTCTTTTTACTTGGCCTTATTATTATTATTATTATTATTATTATAGCTAGGCCTAGGCCCAGATAAGATACTTGTTTTTGTTTACATCAAGACTGAGTCAAGTCAAAACATATTAAATATTTAACAAGGCTTCAATTAATATTTAATAATCTTGTTATCTATAAACCGTAGTTCAAATAGCATATTTCCTACCCAAACATTCCTAGCTAGAGCATTCGTTTGAAGTAAATGTAAAGGCAAAACACACTATCAACATAAAATTAGCAGTATTTACACCACAACGCTGGGAGCTGTGTATTGAGATGCTATTATGAACTCGTGAATTGAAAGCAGCACCACGCACAAGCACAAGCACATGGCTCTAATCTACCAAAAAACAATCAGCCTGATCTATCTACACCCAGATTAAATACATTTCTTTTTTACGCTAATAGTTCATCAACAGATTAATAAACCTCCAATTGATATTACAAATAAGAAATTCTGCAGCTTTACACGCAACCGTTGTTGTTTATTTACTTATCTATGGACAGTCGGATCCTTCGCAGATATAGGCCTAGGCTACCTACAATACATACGCAATCGAATACCGTCGACTGATTTAAAAACACAACACATGCACAATTCATAACAAACACAGTGAAACTTACGTTTTAGGTAATTGCAATGGTGGTGCACCCCTTCTTTGAAAAGAACCGTCAACAAATATGCCATTTTTGCCATTACAGTTCATAAAGAAATTAGGAGGTTCGTAAACTATCTCCACATGTTTACGAGATATGAAACTCGAATGTCCCATGTTTACATCCACCTCGCCTTGTCTGCTGTTGCGTCCGATCGAAACACGAGTTTTTCTCATCACAAACTCAAATTCTCGACCCTCAAGTTTAGCAAGGATAGGTCCCTTCTCTTCATCATCTGCCCAATTTAGCCTCGTAGGGCTCGCAGGAGCAGATTTTAGGGCTAAAAGCGCCCAAGCATCATTATCTGAGGCTGGTCTGAAGCTCGCCATTCCTACCACCGTCCCCGAGGGTGACAAAATGGCCGACACGTAAAATAACAGCGCTGTACCTCCAATCAATAGGTCATTCAAAATCCCACAATGCAATGCAATGTTTCTATTCTTATAAAAAGGACGTTTCTGGAAGACGTCATATAACATACGTAGAATAGGGTTTGTCCCTGAATGTAAACAAATCCACGCTGTAAACAAACCTCTGATAGGTCATGTATGCTTGTGGCGTATTGCGAAGACGAAGTCTTTTTATTACAATGATAGTGCAAAAACGGAATAAATTGAGTGCTTAAAGTTCACGCTACAGAGAAAAAAATAGGCCTAATCGAAATAGAATTACTGAATTGCTATTTCTGTAGCCTTTTATTTGGAAATCGTACTTATACTCGGCTGATACAAAAACAAAACAAAACAAAACAAACAAAATCATTCACAATTAATTGTCCAATAAAAAGGGGATTAGTTTATCACCCTAGCCTTCATGTCTTCTATGGTACTGAAAAAAATAATGTTTGAAAAAATAGGGTTGTTTTTTTATAATTTTTAATTTTTTTTATTATTTTTTTTTTGTATATAATAGATATTGTTTGTATTATAATCTCAATCATGCATTTTATTTTGAATATCAATGCACCAGTAAACAACCCAAAGCTTTAGCAAAATAAAAACTAAAAATAAAAAGCCTCCCTCCCTCATCACTTTTACAGCCTAGATACAGTAGGGTGACAAACTAATATTTTTTTAATAGGTCCTTATTATCAATTCATTTTGGTAATGAAATATATTTAAGCACGTAACAGTTACGAGAGTACATCTTAATACTTGAGTTCTGCTGTCTCTCTTGCATGAGTATATTTGGCTGTACGTCACTGGTTAAAATTACCAGTTTAATTATTATTATTATTATTATTATTAATATTATTATTATTTATTATTATTATTATTGTTGTTGTTGTTGTTATTTATTATTATTATTATTATTATTATTATTATTATTATTATTATTATATAGCGCCTAACATAAGATGCTCAGGGCGCTTGATATGTGGACTAGGAACTCTATATCAATGACTTTCTACACCCCTAAGAGTCTCTTCGTATCGGTGTTACCCGGTAACGCGGTAATAATAATAATAATTATTATTATATTATTATTATTATTATTATTATTATTATTATTATTATTATTATTATTATTATTATTATTATTATTATTATTATTATTATTTATTATTATTATTATTGTTGTTGTTATTTATTATTATTATTATTATTATTATAATTATATAGCGCCTAACATAAGATGCTCAGGGCGCTTGATATGTGGACTAGGAACTCTATATCAATGACTTTCTACACCCCCAAGAGTCTCTTCGTATCGGTGTTACCCGGTAACCCGGTAATTATTATTATTATTATTATATTATTACTATTATTATTATTATTATTATTATTATTATTATTATTATTATTATTAATGTTACTAAAATCTATCTTAAGGGGAACTTAGACAATGGAGAAATTAGAGAACATTTAAAAAAACGACGTTAAGGGGAAAATAACATGACGTTAAGGGGAAAATAACACAAAAGATATTCTGACCTAGCGCATACTATTATTATTATTATTATTATTATTATTATTATTATTATTATTATTATTATTATTATTAATATTATTATTATTATTATTATTATTATTATTATTATATTATTATTATTATTATTATTTTCATTATTATCATTATTATTATTATATTATTATTATCATTATTAATATTATTTTTATTACCCTCGCCTCCCTGAAGAAGAGGTGAGGTGAGGGTATTGCAATAGCGAGTCTGTGTGTGTGCAGGTATTGCAATAGCACACATGGGTGTGTGTGTGTGTGTGTGTGTGTGTGTGTGCGTGTGTGCGTGCCTTTCTGGGCGCATAAAGCTTGGTTCCCCATTTGCTACACGCTATCGCTCAACTTTCGGTGATGCTGAATGGGCAGTCGAATCGGGAAGCCTTTCCGATTGCTTCGAGAACTGCTACGCAATAATTGCACTGTAGCGACGGTGTAGCGATTGTATGGAAACCAAGCTTAACTCCAGAACGTACTGGACCAGAAGCAGGTCAACTCGGCCACAAGTCAACTCGGCCACAGGCAACTTGGCCACAAGTCAACTCGGCTACAAGTTAACTCGGCCACAAGTCAACTCGGCCACAAAAAAGTTTGGCTACAGTCAACTCGGCCACAAGTCTGTCTCTTATACACATCTTGCACTTTTGAGTTTGTAAAAACATTGGCCTAATAAGTATACACGCTTCCAATTT